TTTGTTCACTTCACAACACTTTACTTAAAGTACATTTTCATAATTTTCATGCCAGTTAGCATGGATCTGACCGCATGCTGCTTTAACTGCCATCTAACTCAAACACAATGTGGCTTTAAAAATGGAAAGTTGCGTGTTTTGACAAAAACTTTATCATTAATTTTATCTTGTTAAGACGAGTAAAGTGCTGCATTGCATACAAACTTTTAAATTACTGAAATTTGAAAGTGGTAAAGTGTTTTACAATTCTGATGTTTTGGTATCCACTTATTTTTAAAGATTTATTCTAAGTTTACACAATACTAGATGTTATAGTTGTATGAAGACTAGGCATAGGAAGACTTAGGTGTCCCTGATGCCTCTAAATGCATTATAACTGATAAATAAGCAGACATCCTATGCTAAATTTGATATTTGAAAATATTTACAATTGCTACACATTCTCTTTGTGAATATAGATAGAAAAAAAAAAGTAAATGTTAATATTCTACTCACTATTGGTGATCACAATATGAATAATATTGTGTCGGCAGTTTTTTTTTTTAATTTAAGAAAAGACCACCTCTACTTTCCCCGTAAAAGGGAACACACCTTCCCATACATATTTTATTCATTCTTTTATTCAAATTTCAATAAATTTCTGTGCTCAAAGATGCTCTTAGTGTATCTTACAATATTAGAAAATCAAACATTTTGTTAATAGTTAATTCGAAACATTGGAAATTCTAAGTCAAAAACCATATTGGTAGTTGTAGATGAACAACCATACAATCACCTTTACTATCAAGGCTACCTATAAACATTTCTGCCATTTAGATATCATATAAACCACCCTATAAAATGTGACATTATTATACCACATGAACATATATATATACCACTTTACAAACATTACCATGTACCCACAATATTACAACATATAACCACTCCAACAGTGTGACAACCTATAAATAATTCTGCCAACATGACACAAACCCACTTGTATCTGTACAGTTATCAAGGCAATGATTTCAAAATTGCGAAAAAAGCACCTGTGTACTAAGAATATAGTAGGAAATAAGTACATGTTATCATAAAATCTGCTATTATTTACTAATACATCAACCTGTTGACATTCTTCAAAATGAAGATACAAAAATGAAAGCAACAGTCTATCGGTCAATACTCTAACAATGAACAAAATATCTTAGTGTTGCCAAGTCCAGTGTACTGATGTTCTTATAGGTCTACTGTTTCAATTTTTGTATCATATATATTACAATATGCAGTAAAATCATTGATTTCTGGGTAGGATATTGGCAGCTGAACAAATCTAGTCATTCAACAAAAAACACATGACACAACTCTATTATGTAAAACCTTGCTAGGCCTGCTGAGCTAACACATGACACAACTCTAAAATGTAAACCTTGCTTGGCCTGTTGGGCTAACACATGACACAACACTATCTAGGCCTGCTGCGCTAACACATGATACAACTCTATTATGTAAACCTAGCTAGGCCTGCTGAGCTAACACATGACACAACTCTATTATGTAAACCTAGCTAGGCCTGCTGAGCTAACACATGACACAACTCTATTATGTAAACCTTGCTAGGCTGCTGAGCTAACACATGACACAACTCTATTATGTAAACCTTGCTAGGCTGCTGAGCTAACACATGACAGAACTCTATTATGTAAACCTTGCTAGGCCAAATAACACATACACAACTCTATTATGTAAATCTTGCTAGGCCTGCTGAGCTAACACATGACACAACTCTTTTATGTAAACCTTGCTAGGCCAGCTAACACATACACAATTCTATTATGTAAACCTTGCTAGGCTTGCTGGGCTCACACATGACACAACTCTATTATGTTAACCTTTTCATTCAGTGTAACACATACACAACTCTATTTGTTCCATGTTACACATGACACAACTCTATTTGTCAACCTTGCTAGGCCTGCTGGGCTAACACATGACATAACACTATCTAGGCCTACTGAGCTAACACATGACACAACTCTATTTGTCAACTCTTTAATGTCTCAGAAATTTCAACTGAACAGTTTACTTGATTATAAAACACATATGTCTCAATTCCTAATTAATGATTGAAAGTGTGTAATTTTTCATAAATACAGAGTAATTGCTTTGATATACTTGTATGTTAACAGTTATGACAAAAAGGCAAGACAGCACAATACACCTGATTAAGTAAGGGATAAAAAGTTTTGTCAGATATCTTCAGATATGTATGGAGCAAATATTTGAGTAGATTTCCAGGAAGAAGATGCTCCTTACAGATAATAAGCATGGCTGATGTGTGTACCACAAAGATTCATATCTTATGAATGATAACACAATCATTATCAAATCCACCTGCATGTTGGCTCCATGAACAACTTTTCATTATGTCACTGACTCATTTCTCTTATTGTAGAAATAACACAAAAATAGAGGAATAAATGCTTAACATTGATTACTGCAGATGATTTTTGTATTATATCTTTGCCTGTTGTACAACACTACATAATGCATTATATATCAAACTAAATTTCTACTGTATGGTCATTTGGTACAATGTAAAATAAAACATATTTATATCTTATGTCTCAGTTTTATCATTGGTTATTATCATAGAAGTGTTTAAAATTGACCAATGAGATGATGGCTTGAGAGACTAATACCATCAACACCATGATTCTTCCTGACTTTTATGATTGGGTCTGGGGGGGGGTGGCATTTAATTGTTAGGGCTGTAAAGCAATTATTTGTGAGTATACTCGTACATGTATTGAAAACTGTTAAAATATAGCTATCAAATAACAAAAAACGTCTTTGAAAATACCTTGATTAATGATAAACACCTTATTAGATAAAGCATCATGCTTAATCAAACTAAGTTTCTTATATATTTAAGTCATTGACATTCTTATATCTGCAAATTGACAATGGTGAATTTTCATTGAACATTTGTGAAAAAAAGAGATTTTTTTGCTTTGATAAAGGGTCCCTATTTTTGCCCAAAAACTGTGTGAAAAACATTGCAACATGATACAGAAAATGTATACTAGTAGTAAGAAACAAACATTAAAATGAAGTGCAACAAAACACAATGCTGTCCAAAATGTGTTAATAATTAAAATCATGGTGAAATATCCTTAAATTAGGGGTCAAGGTCATATGGAAAATAACCTTGAACTAAGGGTGTACGTCATGACTAGAAAAAATGCTAACCATTTAAACGGCGATGTAATACGTTTAACCGACCATATTAGTAAATTCCTTAGATTCTCAACATTAACTTTGTTTCTTTATGACTTCTTCAAAAAATTTTGTACTCAAAATGATTACAATACATATCAGAATATGGAGTAACTATTTTCTGATAGAGTTGTACCATACTCGATCAGATCGGAACAAATACATTGTTGAGTACAACTAAAATACAAACAATTGTCATACATGTATCTTATCATAAAAAAACTGAAGTAATATTTAGTATCTATTTAAAACATTTCCGCCCCTTAGTCAAATACTAACCTCGGTTACTGGTAATTGAATTTTATAACCGGTCTTTAGCTAAAAAACTGACAGTACCCGTTTAAACGGATAAATGTGACACCCCTACCTTGAACCATGTTCTCAGTTATATTGTGTGTTATCTGTGCAAATAGAGTGGAGATAATATGTCCAAAATTAAAGTTGTCTGCAAAGCAAAAGCATCTCTCAATGAATAATGGGGCACTGCAGCTATATCTTTTATTGGCTCTCAGAGAATATTACTTTTTTTAGAATTCACAATCTTCTGTTTGGCACTTAACTTAGAATATATCACTGAAATCTGTAATGGTACAAAATGGTTTATTACAGAAACTTCTTATATAAATAAATTCAATGTGTGTGCACCATGGGCTTTCATGCACCAAAAACAAACATGTTTATGAATTTATCATGTTATTCAAGAACACTCTATCACTGACATATATCTAGAATGTTGTTTTATTTTGGGCGAAGTTTTATTTTTTGAAGTATTATGATATGTTAGGAGAATGATTATTTTGTATATTTTTTACACTGAGTAATAAATGTCAATGAATGCAAAAATTAACTACCCCAACTACCACCTACAAAAAACCTAAAATAAACTGCTTATCAATAAAGACAGAAATTTTACAAGGGGAAATAACTACCACTTTAAAATTATGTATTTCACCAAAGGGAGATAATCTATGCTAAACATGTAATCAATCTTATTGTAGCATTACTCCCCTTGGCAATGAAGAAAAGAATAAAGTAAAAGTGAATCAAAGATGAAGTAATAACAATTAAACTTTGAATTAACTGGAATTTTTAACATGGATATTTCATTTAATGACTTATTTAACAATACATGTATCAGTTTTCAAAATTGTCCATTACACTGTCCTGTAACATTCTAGACTTTAACATTCAACACTTTAAGTTCTGCATTTTTAAAGTCACTTCCGTATTGATAGGAAATGTCTGTAAAATCATTTTAATGGATGGACAGCATGAAGGGAGGTAGGTGTGACAGCAGGACAGGAGAGACGGACATCCCTTACCTCAATGAGGAGGGGGGGGGGATAAAAATCCTAAATTGAAGTAATACTAGGTACTACTAGGTATTAAATTGAAGTAATACTAAGTAATACTAGGTATTACAAATACTGTTACTGTTGAAAGAAAGCAAGAATAGCTTCATATTTTTTCAACATTACCTGATATTAGCCAATTTCAATTTGTAATTCTTAATAAAGAATGAAGAAATAGAACAGGACTGCATGATCAAAATTATATTAAATATGCCTCTCTATAAAGCTCTCCTTAAGCTTACCATATTAATGCTAACGTATGTATTCAAATGCTCATTACCAAACAATACTAATTGCTACTAGAACATTTTGAGCTAGCAAGAGTATTTTCTGATTACATGTCTATCAAAGTTATATACATTGAAATTCAATCTAAAATAGTTCACTTACATTGAACACTTGAAGCATTCTCCATGGAACAGTTTACGCTTCCCAGCTTTTGTTGAAACAGAGATCCTATTATCATCTCGAAGTGGAAACCCACATCCCCCACACATATCAACAGAAATTGGCTCAGATTTTCTGGAACTACGTAAAATCACTGACTTCCGCAGTGATGCAGGTGACAATTTGTCAGAGATTTTCTTTCGACACAGTGTTGGTGACATACTGTTGTATCTATGTAAAATAGGTGGTTTTCCATTTTTACGTGATGTAGAAGGGGAACTTGTTAGTGACTGCGTATCGAGACATTTCCTAACATTACATGTTTCAGGTGACGAGTCACTCGAGTCTTGTACCCTGTACCTCTGTGCAGAATCAAAACTAGATACACGTTCAACCTTTGGTGAGACATTGATTTTTCTCTTAGCTGCTTCATAACATTGTTCCCAATCTAGATTAGAGAATTTTTGTATTTCTACTGGTGAGGTGACTGGTCGAGGCAGACGTCGTATATTACGACGTTCAACAAGTGGCGACTCAGGAAGCGTCACTTTCTTCAGACAAACAGCACTGTTGTCTTCAAGATAAACATCACCTATAACATAAAAATATTTGTTCTTCTTTATTTCAAAGACAAAAATTGCAGAAGATATAAGAAATAAGTATTCATGTTACAACAATATGAAAACATGTATTAAATTATTCTTTTCATAACTCAGTTCTACCTCAAAATTAAGTGAAACTTTCTTTTTATCAAACAAATACTATAATTCTTTAAAATTCAAATATGAAACACTTTACCAATCAAAGACATTTAGCAGTAATTGATCATTTCAATGAGCATCCATTTCTATAGGATATCCTGTAAAAAAAATCCAGCCCTAGAGTGAATGTCACAAAGTTTTATTTTTACACAGCACCAATCAATCACATTTCTCACCTGGTGACAGATACATTACCTGTATAAAAGCTTGATTAGGAAACTCTGCCTTAAACCACAGAAGAAGAGAGAACTTTAATCAATTTATTGAATTTTTTTATGATATGAAAACCAATAGTGATGATGAAAGTGATTACTGTTTAAGGATGTGATTCAAGCAAATCATGAAGGATTCATAGCTTAATAAAAAAATTAAATGGAGGAAAGATTAGACATGCATAATGTAACTACATTTATCTTGTTTGTTTTATTGTTCAATGAACTATAATTACTTCTGAGTTAACTGGCCTGGCAACCTGAACTATTCTTTCTATTGACCAATTGGAACTGGCACTATGAACTATTCTCTCTATTGACCAATAGGAACTGGCACTATGAACTATTCTCTCTATTGACCAATTGGAACTGGCACTATGAACTATTCTCCATAGTAAGCTATCTGTACTGGCACCATGAACTATCCGCCCTAAAGAGCTTACTGGCAGACTGGCACCTGTACTTTTCTCTCTCCTGAGTTACCTGGACTGACATTCATGAATAATTGTCCCTACTTAGGTAACATTACTGGCATCACACACTACTATTTATACTGAACTTTCTGAGCTAGTTTTATGAACTATTATTCATACTGAGCTACCTAGCTTGGCACCATGATTGTATCTCTGTACTGAGCAATCTGGACTAGAACCATGGACCAGCTAACTGGACTGGCACCATAAGTTATTATTCATACTGAACTTTCAGGACTGGTATCATGAACTATTCTTTTTACTGAGCTATGAACCATGAACTTTTCTCTCTACTGAGCTTACTGGACTGGCATGGTGAACTATTCTCCCTACTAAGGTAACTTGACTGGCACCATGAACTTTTCTCCCTAATGAGCTTACTGGACTGGCACCATGGATTTTCTTCCTAATGAGCTAACTCAGGCCTTGCATTCATGAAGTAATCTACCTACTGAGCTATTTTAAGCTAGCATTCATGAACTGTTCTTCCCTCTGAACCATCAGATCTATTCTTCCTTATGATGAGCTAACTTTATTCCTCAAATAAAAATCTGTGCATTTAAACCAGGCTTTATAGTGTTACAGTTCAATTTTTGTATTTTGATATTGAATTCCATTAAATTAAGCATCAACTGTTCCAAATTTAAAGCAGGGCAAATCCATTAGATAAAGAACAAAAGTTTTTCTCCTATTGAATCAATGCCACAGAAATCAACCAAGTAACTTAATCAACAGTTGCCACCATAAGGGACCAGAACCTGATAATATGCTGCTTTACTATTTCATCATGTTTCAACTCAGATTTCCAGAAGCACTCACAGAGTAGTTTATACTTATTTTATGTAACTAAATGTATCATTATAATGGTTAAGGTCTGTTTACTAGTATTTCACAGCTAGACAATATGTTGGTAAAATTCACTTTACCTGTCTTTGACATTTCTCCTATCTATTTTGAACTTTTTAAATACACAAAAGTAATCACACCCTTTCCATGTAAACTATATTAATTGTTATCGAAAAATATGATTTAAATTTATTCAAAAATGAATTTGACAATAATCCATTTTTGACAGCACTGTATGTTTGAAGTTGTACATTTACTTTATGAAACAATACATGACTTGTCATCTCTACATGATCATACAACAAACCAATCATAAGTCACATATGATGTATTACCATAAATCCTCTTAACAATGAAATTCCTTGCCAGTACCCCTCATTGCAACTTAAGTGGATGATGTTAGATAAAGAACATGAATATACAAATATAAACATTTTCTTGCAAATACCCATATAATATAAATATACCTATACATCATTATTTTCATTTATTATAACTGTAAAATTTGTTATCAAAATTGTTGTATGTACTGAATTCATATCAAGAATTTTATATAAAATAACAACTATAATGTAGAATAGGGGCCTGCACAGCAAAGTGGATAAAGTTGTTGACATTTAATCACTTGCCCCTCATCAGTGTGCAGGTTCAGGTCCGGTACGGGATTTTGATTTGTTGAACATGTATGCCGTATCTATTCAGCTAGCTTTTGGAATATTATTTTGTGTCTAAAATATTACACAGAGGATCATCTGAGGTTTTTCTTCCAAAATAAGTCTTAAAAAAGTTGTTATTTATTACAATTGCAGTTTAAGTGAAACCATCTAGAATGGTTATAGGGTATTTATTAGGTATAATACGGTGATGTAAAGCCATATGTCAAGTGGTTCTACCGTTTTACTCTTCTATGTACTGTGATAACTATCTGTTCTACTTGAAACAATAAAAACTCTAACTTCCAATCTACTTAAACACTTATAACACTTTGCAAATGCTGTCACTGAAAAATATACTAAATCAAAGTTTGCAGTTGTAATATACACAATTATCTATCAACTTCTCCTCATGGATCTTTTCAATAAATGGTGGGGCATTTCATCTTAATGATACATGATTCATGCACTTCCATTTATTATATAGAAAACATGGACACTCTTTCCCCTTATATATGTACATATAATATATGTAGACTACAATGTAATTTGTAATGTTTAAATTACAGGTTGTAATTTCTCTTATGTATTGTCTGATTAATACCACAGTATAAATAATGTCTTTATATATAAATAAAGACATAAATGTGCTGTGGTAAAACACATATTATTTCATGTCAATGTAGGCCTTACCTCAGTTCATACAAGAATTATTGCAAAATATGGCTATGAAGTGTTATACATTTTTATTTTATTTTGTATTGTTTTATGAAGTAGGGGCTAGTGATAACAGGGTGAGGGTGGAAAAAGGACATTGTAACTTTTGCCAAAATAGAAGTATAGCAAATATACACAATTTTGTCATTTTATGACAATTAAAACAGTTCATTAAAATAGAAGAGCAAATAGTTTTCTAGAATATAAAATCTTTCTATAATTAAAGATATACTTGTAGTACTTTGCTATAATTGAAGACATACTACATGTAATTAAAGATATAACTACATGTAATTAAAAATATTAATACATGCAGTTAAAGATATTACTACATGTAATTAAAGATATAACTACATGTAATTAAAGATATTACTACATGTTATTAAAAGGAATACTACATGTAATTAAAGATATTACTACATGTAATTAAAGATATTACTACATGTAATTAAAGATAATACTACATGTAATTAAAAATATCAATACATGCAGTTAAAGATATTACTACATGTAATTAAAGATATTACTACATGTAATTAAAGATATTACTACATGTAATTAAAGATATTACTACATGTTATTAAAAGGAATACTACATGTAATTAAAGATAATACTAAATGTAATTAAAAATATTAATACATGCAGTTAAAGATATTACTACATGTAATTAAAGATATAACTACATGTAATTAAAGATATTACTACATGTTATTAAAAGGAATACTACATGTAATTAAAGATATTACTACATATAATTAAAGATATTACTACATGTATTTAAAGATAATACTACATGTAATTAAAAATATCAATACATGCAGTTAAAGATATTACTACATGTAATTAAAGATATTACTACATGTAATTAAAGATATCACTACACATAGTTAAATATATTACTACATGTAATTAAAGGTAATACTACATGTAATTAAAGAAAAAAGTACATGTATTTAAAGATATTAATCCATATAATTAAAGGTAATACTACATGTAGTTAAAGAAAATACTACATGTAATTAAAGATAATTCACATGCAATTAAAGGATAATACTACATGTTATTAAAAGGAATACTACATGTAATTAAAGATAATACTAAATGTAATTAAAAATATTAATACATGCAGTTAAAGATATTACTACATGTAATTAAAGATATAACTACATGTAATTAAAGATATTACTACATGTTATTAAAAGGAATACTACATGTAATTAAAGATATTACTACATGTAATTAAAGATATTACTACATGTAATTAAAGATAATACTACATGTAATTAAAGATAATACTACATGTAATTAAAGATAATACTACATGTAATTAAAGATAATACTACATGTAATTAAAGACAAGGGCCATCTGTGATGACATGTGTCGCCTCATGATAGCCATAACTTGGCAAAAAATCATTCAACCTCAAAACCTGTGAAACCTGTTAAAATCATGACAGGGCAAAAAATCAATGAACCGAAAAATGTTGATGAGATTCACAACTAGACATGGTATTGATCATTCCCCTAATATTTTAATGAAATTGCACCAGCAGTTTCAGAGGAATAGTCCAGACAAACTTCTGTGTAGCTGCCAACACAAAAAAACACCTTTTTTTATTCAAGGGCAATAACTCAGCCAAAAAAAATCATTCAAGCGAAAAACTTGTGTATTATGCACAAGTACTTGACCTACCAACTAATCCTGTAAAGTTTCATTGAAATTTCATAAATGGTATATGAGGAGAAGTCCGGACAAACTTCATTATTTCAAGGGCCATAACTAGGCTTAAAATCATTCAAGCGGAAAACCCTGTAATATGCGCAAGTGCTTGACCTACCAATCAATCCTGTAAAGTTTCATTGAAATTGAATTAGTGGTATATAAGAAGTAGTCTGGACAAACTTTAAAAATAAAATAATTAAAGGGCC